ACAGGAATTTATATTATTTAAAAATGTGTAAAAATTCCATATCACTTATTTTTCATAAAAACTAAATTAAACAACACCATACAAAAGGGACTTGCTGTTTTCTGTTATCTTTAGACTAATATGTGCGGCTCTTTAACGTAAAAATTAATATAAAGTCAGCTCAATACCGATATATTGAGAGATTAATCGAAAACAACTTTCTCAGCCTATAAAAAGATTTCATCTCAGGCCATTTTGCACTTGATGAGACCTTAGAACATTTAGACAATTACAGTCGTTCTGAAAAAGCGAGCAAAATTCGCCATAAAGAAGTTCAGAAGCAAGATTCTATTCTTTTATGAAGCGTGAGTTTATCTCATATTCACTGAAAAGAGTGTCACGATAGCTAAACAGTAGGCAACAACATTGAAATTAGGCCAAATGTGCTTACAATAGAACAAAAACATAAAGTGAAGGCCAATAGTGATGACTGGCTGGTGATTGAATAATGGGTCATTATTTGGATGCTAGAGTCAATTTTTTGGGTTCATAGTTCGATTCAATTCAAGCATGTAGCGAGAATAAAATGCAAAGATACTTCTTCGAAACAATCCTTTGTAGATAGGTATATTTAAGGATGGCCAAAAAAGAGAAAATATAGTTAAGTTACCTCATTAAAGTTGATCACAGCTTTTCTCTTACGAGTGAAGATGGCGTTTCCATTGAAATTGCGGTCCAACCAGAATGAGAATAACTTCTTAGAAAGCAAGGTTAAGCGAGAATTGGGCTGACCTCGTTTTTACAACTGAGTCGTGTTGTCAGGGGTTATTTAGTTCGACGCACCTTGCCCGAAGTTTTCTGATCTAATAGTTAACATAATTCACATCATCGAACCGTGGGCGTAGTACATTCCCAGACGTTTCGCCGACACCTTAGTTGGCATTGTCAGTGAGTTTTGCCAGTCTCAGCACCAGACTATAACTCGTAATAAAGGCAAGTGAATTCAATCCTTTGACCAACTTTCTGACGAAACAAATGTGCGATCACTCCCCTTCCTGTCGTGAACCATCTATCAATTTCCTACCCTCTTGTCTCACCCTCGTCCTATCACAACTTCTGCCTTTTTCATATTCCACTCTTCAAAAGATGTGCTCTTTGGGAAATTTACCGTGGCGTCATCACACCTGCTGTTTGTCATGCCCCCCTCCTTTTCGGGTGGTCTATCCGACTCGGGCCTCCTGTCCGGATCCGCCTTATGGGCCCGCAGACCCGTTTCTTATCTTTCCGGTTGGCTGATTTCAACCGGTTCTAGTCCCAGTCTATGTTTTATTCCACGCCCTACTTCTCGAGTCTTAAGTAGCACGCACGATTTCGCCTCACCAGTACAGCGGTCAGGATCTGATTCCCATGCCCGCAGATATTAGGCATTGCCTTCACGTCATCTCAATGATTCAACCTGTGAAGTATGAGCAAATTGTGCATGTCTATCTCTGGTTGCCTGCTACTTTTCGAGTGGATTTCTAGTCAATTTAGTTTTAATGCTGAATTTCTAGGATGGTAGTGATTAACCTTCGCCCTAGTTGCGTGATCGCCATGTTCTCAAAGTTTAGTTGTTTCTTTGAGCAGACTACACTCATTGAGAACGTCTTCGCTTTATTTCCTATAGATCCTTGATCCATGCGTCTCCTTTTTTCTTGTCTTTTCGTGCTCTTATTCCAATCTCCTGTTCATTAAATTTCTTTCCGCAAAGATGTCGATGTCCTCACTAATTTTCAGTTTCCTTAGGTCTCACTATATGAGGCCCTTCTTTCTGCTGTCTTCCAATTAATCTCGTCTATGGTCTGTGAAACGTATTCAGCTATTTATGATCGTTCAATATCCATTTTTATGTAGAGCCTTTGATTTTTCTTGATTCGTATGCTATTTTTTCTTCCCATTTCGCCAATATATTGATGTTCGCAGACTCCGCATGCTATGCAGCAAGCTCCCGAGCAATCCGATTTGTCCGCCCTCTTATGTTGCGTGGGCAGACTTGTGAAGAGTGTAATTTTTTCCTTTGTGGTCACATGAGGCTGTAGAAACATTATATCTAATCATATCATTGTGGGAAATTCCAAGGTTAGTATACTTGATTATAGCGAATGCCTTTCTGACGAAAAATTAATTTAAGCATAACAGTAAACGGACAAAAAAGGGCAACGCAGATTTTAAATTCCTAATAATGAGTAGATAAATCGAAAACAATGTAATGACAAGAAAGATACCTTGATCTTGTTACAAGGAATAAATAATGCTTGAACAAATCTCCATGTGTTAGCGAAGCTAAAAAATACGCCAGGTCTAGAAATTGGTGCCTCCATATTGGCGCTAATGCTTGCTGCAATTTGTCATCAGTTGACAAGAATCACGTAAAGCTCTTACAAAAATATGTGGATTTCACCAGGTGCTGCAATTCATTCAGCCCGCTCAAGATCTCAGAAACAAGAAATTATTTAAGGCAAAACGAATATGCATCACTAGTACCTTTTTTGTAATCGCATAATTATTTTACTAATTATTATTATATCATTAGCAAGCTGCAATCGACGTATCCCAAATACAAGATAATGAGTAGACCATCAAGTCAAAAGCTACACATTAGGCCCAAGTGTCATAAAAAGCTAAGAAAAGTGTATAATAATTCTACTTAAAGATAATAGTTGCTAAAACAATATTTTAAGTAATTGGTTTTTACGGTGCACAGAAAATTGATTCCGATTAAGGACAGTAAACATAAAGAGCTCGAAGAGAGCACATCGATATCGCATTAAAGTTGAATTAGATCCCGATCTTAAGCCTCCTGACCCTAAATTAGAATATAAGGAAACTGGCAATCAGATTATGAGAAAAGATAGTAAGATCCCTGTATTACCTGGAGTTTGAGAGAGCGGACTCGGTGAAGAAATCGAGATTAACGATTTCATGGACTCTGATAATGCGTCTGCTGGCATCGACGACATCTTTGGCGTCGTTTGAGATGGCGGTAGTGATTCGGTAACTGCTTTGTGCACTAATGAGTCAGAAGAACTAAATGCCCCCTCGCGACTCGCCTCTTTAGCCGTCTGATAGCTGCCCAATTGCTCAACGCATCCAGAGGATTGTGAAGTGGTCATTAGAACTTTATTGTTAACAATGTTGCTCTTGGAGGGTAGATCTGGAATATCTTTAATTTGGAAGCTAGTTGAACATGGCCTCTCATTGATGGATAACTCGCCACTGCCATTGCCTCCGAGCGTATCCTCTTTTCCTCCAGACCTTCTTCCGCCTATGATCAAACTTCGTGTGCCCACACCATCCACTCTTTTAATTTCATCCGCAAGAAGACCATTCGGTAGGCCAGTGTTCCCAGGGCCTGAAGAAAGAGGCCCGCGGATGCCCAAACTGAGCTGCCATTGCCGATAAAGACGATGTCTAGTGATCGCCTCAAGCCAATGTTCAAATGCCTGAAGACTATCGAACTAAAATCACAAGGGCAAATCGCATTAAATAAAATAATTAATTAAGTAGAAAGGAAAAAAAAGAGGGAAGATAAGGAAATTTAGGTGATGGGTCTGTAAGTATATTTTCCATCCGGATTGAAAGGATATATAAAAAGTGAGCATGGAAGCTATTACGAAGGTAGTGTTGAACGTAGAGTGAGTAAAGACAATTAATAAATTAAATAATAGGAGTAAAAATAGATTATATAATAGTTACTTAATCAAGCCTAATCTATCTCATTCAAAAGTAATGGTGTTCATGTTGGCAGAAATGAGGCGTTTGTCTAATAGCTATTCAATCGTTCAGCAAAATACTGACAGATTACCTAAGAATTGATACCCACATGAAGTTTGAACAAACCACAAGGCCTTGCTACCGCATAAGTCCAGAAACAAAAGTGTATCTGTGTCTAATTTCGATCGAAGCTTTGATGTTATTAAGGGTTTTGCCGACTAATCATCATATATGAACAAACTACGAACACATTAATTTCATTCAGAAAAAAAGATATCGATAGAATACAATCTAATAATACAAACAACAAATTATTTATCATCCTATTTTCCATAAATATAGGAAGGTTCGAAGCTACTCGATTAAAGTATAAAAAGTGCAAATAGTTGCTATTAAATTATTCTGTAAACTCTTGCATTATAGTCGCAGTTGGTCTTTATAATCAATTAATTTAAGCATACCTTCGTTAGGTTTCCAATTCTTTTATTTTCGAGGTAAAACCTCAAAGAATAGGACTAGCATACCGATTTGTTATACCAAATCATTATACCAAAAAACTTAGAACGCTAATATGCATATGAACATACACACAGACAAATATATATATATATATATATATATATAAACGCATATATGTAGAATAGTAACGTGAATAAACAGGATTCTACATTTTATAAAAAATTACCCTACCTAATCACTTTTTCTCATATCGACTTAGAGGGATAGATAGTAAAACCCATCAACTGAAAGAAAAATGACATAGATAAATCCCTTAATGTGCTTTTATAAAACATATTTCTTCTGAGTTCACCAGAACGCTCTCACCAGCAGGTAGTAATATCTAATTACTCCAGCTTATTATTATTGTAATAAAATGTTCGTCAGATTTTAAGCCTATGTCTCCGCTCGAGTTCAGACATCGGAAATATGGTCGAATTGGTAGGTAATATGCTCCTACATACCAAGTATTAATAAAACTAAAGTGAAATGGTGATTTATAAAAACAAACAACTGAAATGACAACTAAGGATATAATAGCTATAGAAAGAGACTACTTGTAATTTTCATCTTTGAATGTTGACGCATATTGCCTGCTTTGACCAAATAATTATTTATTAAGCCAGTAATGGATTTTAAAAAATAATTAACGTCCATTAGAATATTGTTTCCCGACTCGAAATCATTGGTAACCTTGACAACTCTAGTAAGCTACTCTTCTAAGCTACAAAATCAGGTTTATATCGCATTGAAGGAAATGTGGATATTATTCAATTAGTCCTGACGATAGGCTGGAAGTTCGGGTATATACACATTGACCAACTGCTCACCATTTATTGGGAATAAGAATTAACTTTTCTCATGCGTAATAATAGGGATTTGACCACAGATTCTGAGACGCCATCAACCTTCGGGGAAAAAAATCATATTTCAAATGCTAATAATTATTGCAATAGATGGAATTTGAATTTTTCTTATAT